GGCAGGAGAAAGTGTGACTGAGCTTTGCCATAGAGGGGAATCGAGTCAGGGCCATAAGAGGGTGTGCTTCGGTGGCACAGGGCTAGGGGATGTTGCTTTCTAACTGGTGCCTCCCCTGCAGACAGAGGCAGTGCTCGGGGAGTGTCGGGTGCGGTTCCTCTCCTTCCTGGCTGTGGGCAGAGATGTGCACACCTTCGCATTCATCATGGCTGCCGGCCCAGCCTCCTTCAGCTGCCACATGTTTTGGTGCGAGCCCAATGCTGCCAGCCTCTCAGAGGCTGTGCAGGCTGCATGCATGGTAAGTAGGCAGGGGCAGTGGGCTAGCAGCATGACCTGAAGGGACTGAGATGGAGACTGACTGCCCCTTTGCTTCTCTGCAGCTCCGCTACCAGAAGTGTCTGGATGCTCGTTCCCAGACCTCCACCTCCTGCCTCCCAGCACCCCCTGCGGAGTCAGTTGCCAGACGTGTAGGGTGGACTGTCCGCAGGGGTGTTCAGTCGCTGTGGGGCTCCCTCAAGCCCAAACGTCTAGGATCCCAGACCCCATGAAGAATGCCCATCCTTCCTCCACCTGCTTGTGTTGGGCCCCAGGGAACTCAAGGGCTTGGGGCAGGTAGGGGCCCTGGATGCTGTTCCTAGGCCTCACATCCCCCAAGCTGCCCCTCCTCGGTAGCTGGGGTTCCCTACCTAGGGGCTGGGAGAGAGAAATTGAATTCCTTCACAGAAGTCATTACACTGGACTGATGACATGAGGGGCCAGAAGCAAGGCCAGCCCTGGGCTCTCCATCCCCAGTGTTTGAGGTGGAGCAGGAGGAACTGGTCCAAGCCAGGCCCTACCCTCAGAGGCCCAGCAGGGGCAGGAGGGGACTGGTCTCGGCATGGATCCCCTCTCCCCTGTCCTGTGGGCACCTCCACTGTACTGATATCACTAATAAAGTCTGTCTGCGCTGCTGTGTGTCTCCCTGTGCCCTGCCTGTTTGGGAAGAAGAAATTGGAACAGTGGAATCTGAAGTCTTTTATTTTAACAGCCTCGCAGGATCACACAGCAGTGCAGGGTTCACAGGTGGACAGCACAGGCCTGGGGCCATCGCTCCTGTCTGGCTATTCAGAGCACTGAGACCTCAGCTTTGTGGCCCTGAGAAGACATCAGCCTCAGGGGGAATCCAGATACTGGGCATAGGTAGGGCAGCCAAACCCTCCCCCAAATCCAGCCAAACAAGCTCTCCATGAGTTTTGCTCCCTGGCCCGACAGGGCTCCTTCCCCAGAAGCTTTTGCTGGATTGACTCAACAGTGCTTGGGAATGAGTCCCTTTCCTAAGGGACGAATGTTCCCCACTCTGGGTCCCGGAACACTAGCACAACAGGGTCCGTGACCACAAGCCATGGGCCTCTGGGAGGCTCCCATTGGGCATCAAGTGGCGGCAAAGAGCTGGGCTGTCTGCTCGGGCTGAGAGCTGGGCACACAGAGTGGCCAGGCGGCAGGGCGTGCCACAGGGCTCTGAAGGCGGGTGTCCCTTATGGTAGAGAAACCAGAAGGTCTGGAAGAGTTGCTCATTGTCCCGCATGCGGTAGACCAGGTTGTGCCAGGAGGTAGGCAACGCATCTGGAAGTCCATAGGTTTCTCGAGCCCTGTAGAGGCGCTTCCAGTGTGGTGTGGCTTCTGGTGCATTGGCCTGGGTCAGGTTCAGGATGTAGGTCTCATGGTCCAGGACCACATGAGAGCTTCCGGGGTAGTTTCCATCTATTTGGTAGACTCGGTAACCTGTAAGAAAGGAGGGTTGGGTGGTAAAAAAGCCAACAAAGGCAATTCTGGGGACAACCTGCCTTGGCTTCCATCCCTTTCTGTCACACTAGCCTTAGGATAAGCAATGCTCCCTTCAGCCTCACTCACCAGGATTAAGGTTGATATAGGTTGTAGCACTGGGCCCCAGGAAGGCTACAGCTAGCGGCCGGCTTAGAGTCTCCTCATCATAGAAGATCTCAAACTCATCCACATGGGTGTGGCCAAAGAACTGGCCAGCCAAGGTGTTTTCATACCTGACCAGAGACACAGTGACGATTAGGGGGTCGGAAATGAGGGTGGGTGGATCTGGGGAGTTAGGGTGGTTGCTCTCCAACTTGCTAAGTGGCTCCTCCACCCCATGGAGAAGCAAAGATTGTGAGGTGCTTGAGGAAACGTTTTTCTTTCTCCCCTGCCCGTGCCCCCAACCCCTCCACCCCCACCCCAGACCAGGTTTCTCTGTGTAGTCCTGGCTGTCATGGAACTCACTTGTAGAAAGACTGGCCTTGAACTCACAGAGATCCACCTGCCTCTGCCTCAAGGTGTGTGTTAGCACACCCTGGTCTTGAAGGGATTTCAACCCTTCAATCTCCACACCTAAGTCTATCTTTTTACCTGGCGACAATTTTGTAATAATTCCAACTCCAGCTCTTGAGGCAATGCCCTGGAGGAATATGGCCAATAATATGCACCTGAAGGGAGAAATAAGGGAGCTATCAGAATACTGAAGAATCCAGACAGCCTTGGCTGGGGTAATTATATGAAGGGTTCACAGCATCTTCCCTTACTTTGTCTCCTCGATTCTCAGCGGTCTGAAGCTCTTCCACCAGCCACTGGAGTTGTCCAGCAGGATCTGTGGAGTTGATCAAGAGCCAAAAGTTCTCACGGGAACAAAAATTCATATTGAGAGAGATGAGGCGGAGGCCAGGGCGTGGGGTAAGGGCATAGAAGCCCCCAATTCTGAAACAAAGTAAGCAAGAAGTGTCAGTACTCCACAACCCCAATCTGCACACCTGGCCCTGTGCCAGGCAGAGGCACACATGATGTCATCTCCCACCTCCAGGAGCTCCCATCCTAGCTGAAGACCAAAGCGGCAGTAATTACAGGGCCCCTGACAGTAAAGAAGGCTCGAGGTGCTGAGGGCTCCAGGAATTCAGGACAGAGATTCTAGGAAGCCAGAGAGCAAAGGCCTTTCTGAGGGGAGATGCCATGAGCCTGCTCAAGTTGAGAAGCATGGGGGATATTACAAGGTGAAGGGAATCCACTTTAAAGAGAGAGCCACCCTAAGCAGACACAAGCTGGGGCGTGGTGAGGTTGCCCTGCTAGCTCTGAAAAAGAGGGTGGCTGGAGATAAGAGGGAAGGTGGGGTCAGGTTAGGGAGGGCAGTAGAGTGCCCAGGACACTGGTTACAACAGAGTCTACCCAGTTCCCTCCTCCATTCCCCGCCTGTCCATCTTCCTCCCTTCCTGAGTTTCCACGAACAGTAAGTACCTGAGGGTACGGAGGGCATCAGCTGGTAACCAGGGCTCCCAGGCCTTGGCCATGGCTTCATAGAGCCATTGTGAAGATTGGTTCCCCTTTATGAAGGGGGGAGGGAAGCCATTGACAGGAGCGCTCTCATGGTTGCCCACCGCAGGGTACACCGGCACAGGCCCCAAGAATTTCCTCACGAGGTCTGTGACAGTGGTCAGGGCCCTCAGCTGGTCCTGTCGAGACTGTTGCCAGACATCATGGGCAGGGATGTCTCCTGTCCAGTACACCATCTCAAAAGGGCCTGCAGGGCCCAGCCCTTTCAACAGGCTCTCCAGTGTTCTCAGGGGCAGGTCACACTTGCTGTACTCGCCCCAGTACCCAGCACCTGCCTGGGAGTTGGGTGGCCACCCAGAGCTCCGGCGGCAGCAGAGTGGATCTGCACAGTTAGGATCTGCGCCCTCCAGGTAGTCATGATCCCAGTGCAGGTCAGTGAGGAAGAGGACGCGGCTGACAGGGGCACCTGGGGCTGGTGGGCTTGGTGGTTTGGGAGGCGGCTTCGGCACTGACGGCAAAGAGATGTTCCAGGTTGAATAGATGTCCCAGTGCCCACAGGAGGGGCCCAGAAGCAAGCCACAAGCTTCAGACGGGCTCAGAACCGAACGTGTCCACACCTCCACCATATCATCTTCAAAGAGATGGACAGCTGAGCGGCACACATTTAGTGGTGCTATGTTCAGCATCTGGCACACCTTGATGGCCACAGAGCCTACCCGTGCCACATTGGGCTCCTTCTGTCGTGGAAGGAAGCAATGATGAGAGGTCAGAGTCAGAACAAATAAGCCCAGGTCACCGCTACACAGGCTTCCATGTCTAAGTCGGGGCTAGGATGAACTCAGTGTCACCATGACAAAGAGACCTCAGTAATACAGTGCTCCATAACTCAAGTAGCACCAGACCCTTGCCTACCTACTCTTTAGCTCAGGGTCTAGAACCATTAAGGCCAGGATTAGCTAGCTGACTTACCCAAGGCACTGCCTTTACGCTTACTTTACAGAGGTCACAGTGGGGTAGTGGCTAGCACGTATACATAGGAAGCACCCTCTTATCAGGAATATGTTGGAGCCCGGGACAGGTCAGTGCCCCTCACCCTGCCCCCAGCATTCCACCACAGCCCTTTTTTCTAGCGCTCACCTTCAGCCCGTAGTTTAGAGCAGTGAATAAGACTTTGCAGGCGGGGCAAGAGAGGTTCCGCCACACAAAGGCATTCTGGAGCGGGGGCACTATGGCACTGAATTTGACGGAATGTCCTTGGGCAGGAAGAGGATAAGCTCTGGCAGGAGTCCAGAGAACCGTGGAGTCAAACAGAGCTAGCACCAGCGCCAGGACCAGCCCCATCCAAAGGAGTCCCAACTTGGATGCCGGTAAGGACCTCTCCAGCCTCAGCTCCCAGTCGGCTCTGGGGTGGCCCTGGCCGGATGACACTTCGTGGCGGGGCATTGCCAGGCTTCGTAGACCGGACTGGATCGCCCCTCCAGCCCCCACAGGCCGAGGCGCTGGCCCTCGGGCCCCGGGTAGCGCTGGAGACACTCGATTACCCTTCGCTGTGGTTGACTGATCGCTCAGTAGCCAGCCACAAACCAGCTCCTCCCCTTCCTGTTCCTCCTATTTTCCCCAGCAGCCGCGGGGAGTGTTGTCAAAGCTTTGGGGGCGGGGCAAAAGGGGCTCATCGGCCGGCCCTGATCCCGCCTCTGCCACGCCCCATCTTTGCGGGCCCGCCCCAGACGCTGGTGATGGGCCGGTGCACTCTGCAGTGACCAGTGCCCACTTTGAGTCACTGCAGCACGAGGTACGTCGGCCAGGGACTGCCCGGTGCTTTCCGGTTGGAACTGGTGGAAGCCCTTAGGTGGCTCCCAAGAGCCTTCTCGGTCCCGGTTTTTACCTTCAGATTCCTTCTAGAATAGAGACCAGGCTCAGCTGGTCATTTACTTTGGAAGTGAGACTAGGGAGAGAGGGCTGGCAGAGAGGGCTGGGGTAGTGATCCTTTCATTGAGCAGGTCCCTCCCTTAGGTTTCTATATATGCTGCCACCATTACAGCACCCTTGAGTCACTTAAGGTTTTGTTAATGCTACTTTTTTTTTTTTTTTTTTTTTTTGGTTTTTCGAGACAGGGTTTCTCTGCATTGTTTTGGAGGCTGTCCTGGAACTCACTCTGTAGACCAGGCTGGCCTCGAACTCACAGAGATCCGCCTGTCTCTGCCTCCCAAGTGCTGGGATTAAAGGCGTGAGCCACCAACGCCCGGCTCTTGTTAATGCTACTTTATTCTCATTAAAAATTTGTATTATTATTAGCTTTATGTGTATGGATATTTTGTATGTGTGTGCATCACAAGTGTGTGCCTGCTGGCGGGTGTAGGATCCCTCTGGATTGGAGTTATAGATGTCTTGAGTCACTATGTGGATGAAAGGGGTAAACTAAACTCAAAGACTTCACTTCTAATAATTTAGAAATAAAGGGATGAGAAAAGACACATAGGCTTCTGATACAAGGAAACTCCAGCTGCTCTGGCCTCCTGGAGCCTAGGGCCAAAACTGAACACAAAGAAACTCCAGACCCTCCCTCCCCCAGCCTCCTAGATACTTGACTCCTGGGAACTGTTTGGCCACAAAAGAAACTCCGAGGGGGGGGCGTGGAGGACCAAAACCTCCCCTGTAGTCTCCAGGATATAGTTCTGAAAACTATTGGTATCTATGTACAACAGGCCACCTGCAAGTAACAAGACAATGCCATAGAAACTACAGAATGTTCCCTCTCAGCACTGACCAATGAAAATAATTGGTACACAGGTATTTCATGCCAAAATATGACTTTGAGAAATTCTCCTGATTGTTCCCAAATGTCAACCAATCAGAAACCAACTGGTGTGATCCTGTAACTTTTGCCTTTAAAACCTAGGAGTAGACAGGGAACTTCACTCCCTCTAGAGGCTGCTGCATCAGCTTGCTAGATGGGGTCCCTGTCATGGTTGGATGAACAATCATTAAACCTTGCTTTTGCAGTTTAGTGGGTCTGTCTTCCTGGTGGTCTCTGGGTGCCGTGCCCACTGGTGCAGCCTGTGTCCGAGAATGTGCGGAGGGTGTCAGGATTGATGACTCAGAGACCAGCCGGTGGTACAAAGAAAACTTAAAGAAGGCTTCCTGAAGGCTCCTCAAGAAGGCTCTGCTTTATTCTTTATTCTGGCTGGTTTTATATGCCCTGACACCAGAGGCAGTGGTGAGTGGGTCAGGAAGAGGCGTTAGTCTTTTGAAAAGGTCAGGGTGTTGCTGAGGGTGAGCCCTTATCATGAATTTATTGCTCTGGATTGGAAAAGATCAAGGTCAGGGTGTTTCTGTGGATGAGCCCTTATCAGCAACTTATTGCTCCAGGCACCATATTGTTTTTAGTAAGCATTGTCTTACAGCTGCCTGCTCCCAGGCTGATGGGGAAGTGGGCCTCCAGCCAAGGTCTGTTGTTCCCACATCTGGGGACTTTGCAACTTGGGTATAACATTTGGGCCACGATCCCCAGGGCCCCAGACCCCTAAAGGTTTAAGTCTCCAACCAGACAGGTAAATGTTCTGTTTGTTGTTTGTTTCTGTGTTATTTGTTGTGCTGGCTGGAAAGTTTTGTGTCCTGAATTCTGTGACAGGTTTGTGATTTTACGTTTTTTGTGATTTTTATGTTTCTGTTCTAGTTCGCTGGTGGACAATCTGAAACTGTAAGAAACAGAGCAAGAAGACCTTGGCAGATGTGCTATAAGGTCAGATCTGGAGAAACTGAGAGATGTCTCTGGTTTCTTGTCTGGGTGGGAATTCCGCCATCTGAATCTAAATTTGAGTAAAAATCTGGCTAATCAATGCACCATCGGAATCTGAGTAGCTACTGGGGAGTTTGCCTCTCGACCGTGAATCTGAAACGGAATTCCAAGCCTTTGAGATGGCCCCTTTTGCCTAAGTGCTGTTTGTTTGTTTGTCTGTTGTTTGTCTTGACAGTACAGATCTGACTGGGACACAACCTAGCATGGGACAGATACCCTCTTCCTCTCCAGATCTCTGCCTAACCCATTGAAAGAACATGAAACAAAAAAATCTGGGATCGTGACTAAAAATGTTGGGAAAAATTTTTTTCTTTCAGGTACGCTGGCAGCCCACGACACTCTGTACTCACCAGCGCTGCTCCCCCTCCCTTCTAGTCTGTATACTTTATGCTCTTACTTCCAGTAACTAAAAACAAATCGTCATTTATGGTGGCTACACTCAGTAGCTCCCATGAAAGATGGATAACCCAACTGCTGCCTGTTGGTCTGTACCTTCCTGCTGAGTCCTGGTTCCTGGACGCAGTGTTTCTGCACTATGACTCACCTTGGGCGGCTGACAGCCAACTCAAGTAAAATGGCCAAGGTACAGGTTTTAATGGGTTAATATAATGTTGCCATCTGTATATCCTTGGTAATAAAATGTCTGTTCATGTCTTTTGCCCATTTTTTACTTGGATCATTTGTTTATGTCGCTGTTGAGTTTTACATAGGTTCTCTATCAGACGTGAGGTTGCTTAAACTTTTTCACATAACTTGTACCAGAAAAAAGTAAGTCCATTTTACCAGCCCTTCAAGCATGGTCAATCACTGACAAAAGAGATGTGGGGTGGGAGTTCACCTCAGTCAAAAGAACAAGAGATTCCTATTTATGACTTTGCCTTCCCCCTTTTAAGAAGCAGTAAAATCTATTCTGTTAATTAGAGTTTTCTGTTCTAAAAAAGTTATGTAAACTTTATAATTTAACAGTCACCCAGGTGATGATGGTTTTAAGGGCATAGGGTATTTTATTTTTAGTATAGGTTACTCCCTTCCCTCAGCCTAGACAGAGGGACAATCTAGTCAGCTTCTGCCTACAAACTCTGCTGCCAGACATAGTTCATTTATCTTTTTGCCTTTTATTTTGGCCACTGAAAGTTTTTTTCTTTCACTGGCTCTGTTATACCTGACTTGTTTGCAGAATGTCTTGCCTTTCCAGGGCCCAGTATGGCATACGTTACACGAAAAAAATCCTGTCTGTTCCATCTGCAGCGGATCTACATTCTTGTCACTGACAGTTTTAAGTTATTCTGTCTCTTTAAATATCCTGTCTGTTTGTTAAGGTAAAACCAGTTACAGTCAGACTCGAAGGCTCTGAGTAAAACATCCCTCCACAATCTCTCAATTTGAATCCAGTTCTCCAGACAGATCCTGCACTAATATCATTGAAGCTATATTAAGTATAACAGGGATAAACCTTATTCAGTCCCCTATATGTCTTCAAAGGTTAAGCTTAAAACAACTAAAACCAAAGTTGTCTATCCAGATTTACCTAAACAACACTCTTAATGCTTCCAGAGATCTACAGAATATGACATTTAAAATGTTAACTAAAAAGCTTATAATATCAGCCGGGTGTTGGTGGCACAAGCCTTTAATCCCAGCACTCAGGAGGCAGAGGCAGGCGGATCTCTGTGAGTTCGAGGCCAGCCTGGTCTACAGAGCGAGTTCCAGGACAGACTCCAAAGCCACAGAGAAACCCTGTCTCGAAAAACCAAAAAAAAAAAAAAAAAAAAAAAAAGCTTATAATATCAGAGAATCCCAGATCCTGACATTGGCCCAAAGTCTCCAGAGAAGATTAAAGGACACCTGGCTGTTTACACAACGCTAACCAGGGGGCAAGATGCCCCAATACATACCTGCTGCCAGGACCTGGCCCAGACAGTGGACAAGTGACAGGACACTGGAAAATTCATTGTACCCCTTTTGCCTAGACAAAATAAGGTCAGTCTTTTCCATGTCTCTCTTCCACAGAGAGGAAAAATTCTCACCTGATAGGCCTGGCAAAGATTGATGCTGTTCTTTGATGCCTCTACTTGCTAATAGAGACTTGGGTATGGCTAACTATGTATGAACTGGACCCTGTCATTTTTAATAGATTCAAAAACTGTATAAAATTTATACTTCTCAGATTTCTGATATTATTAATGGTTAAATTATATGGCCAGCTTAATAGCACATTTAATGAAGTTCTGATAAGCTGATAGAACAGTGACTACCTGCTGTTCAGTCACAAGCTCAAGGTTTTTATATTTATTTTAGTTGTCATCTAAATATAAATTTAAAGGGCTTTTCATCAGGCCAAAGGTACCTCTGTCCAAGCTATACCTGACTCACTGGACAGAAGAAAATGTACAAGCTTCTAACTCAAACCTTTAGTTTTTGCTAGGACTCAAAAGGTGTGAGTCTATTCCTGCTGTTTTACAGATGCCTGATATATGCTTTATCTACAATATAGATTTTGGTACAGATTGACAATACTAATATGGCTAAAACTTTTAAGTCCTTTTGTATAATAAAGTCCATATACGCTTCAGAGGATCAAAAGTCATAAGGCTTGGATTCGCTTCTCACAGGTCAAAAGGACTCCAGGTAAGTACAGCTTTTTGTTATTCCATCTGTCTGTTCCTGAGAATGGGATTTTCTCCCCTTGTCTTGGGACTCCTGCCCTTCCTGATCACTAAAACTATCAACCTAAGAGTTCTAATTAAAATTGTATATAAGTTTTAACTTCTGTTCCAATTTAAACATGTCTCAAACAGATTTCCACTTCTGGTTTCCACTTCTGACAGACACATCCGGGCATCAGTTGCTGACTACAGCCTGCACCTAAAGACTGAGAACTCTAGATTTGCTATGGATATGAACCAGTCCAGCCAATGTGAACACTCACTGTTTCTTCAACAGAGTCTACCAACCAGATGCTTCTGATAAAAACTCCACTGCCTGAATTCCCTCTTTGCTCTTGACTAACATTTCAGCCTACTTGGGCCCCTGATTACTACACCCCAAAGTCAGCAGGAAGTAATACAAAAAAGAATACGTCACCCCTGTTCCCTGGTTAAGATATTAAGTCACTAGTAACCCAGGATTGGGTTACCTATAAGAAAAAGAGGGCGCATGCCTTTAATCCCTCACTCAGGAGGCAGAAGGACGTGGATTTCTGTGAGTTCGAGGCCAGCCTGGTCTACAAGAGATAGTTCCAGAACAGCCACCAAAGCCACAGAGAAACCCTATCTGGAAAAACAAAAAAGGAGGAGGGATGAAAGGGGCATACTCAAAGACTTCACTTCTAATACTTATTTAGAAATGAAGGGACCAGACCCTCACTCAGCCCCCTGCTTTAGTAACGACAACAGGCTGCAGAAAAGACACATAGGCCTCTGATACAAGGAAATTCCAGCTGCTCTGGCCTCCTGGAGCCTAGGGCCAAAACTGAACACAAAGAAACTGCAGACCCCCCTCCCCCAGCCTCCTAGATTCTTGACTCCTGAGAACTGTTTGACCACAAAAGAAACTCCGAGGGGGGGGCATGGAGGACCAAAACCTCCCCTGTAGTCTCCAGGATATAGTTCTGAAAACTATTGGTATCTATGTACAACAGGCCACCTGCAAGTAACAAGACAATGCCATAGAAACTACAGAATGTTCCCTCTCAGCACTGACCAATGAAAATAATTGGTACACAGGTATTTCATGCCAAAATATGACTTTGAGAAATTCTCCTGATTGTTCCCAAATGTCAACCAATCAGAAACCAACTGGTGTGATCCTGTAACTTTTGCCTTTAAAACCTAGGAGTAAACAGGGAACTTTACTCCCTCTAGAGGCTGCTGCATCAGCTTGCTAGATGGGGTCCCTGGTCTCTGGGGACAACTTGGGTACAACAGTGGGTGCTGGGAATTTGACCCAGGTCCTCTAGAAGAGCAGAGCTATTAGGTGTGGACCTATCCAATGCTAACAACTCCTTAGCTAAAACTAGGACTTTGGTGCCCCAACACCCAGGCTGGAATTTTGTCAGGCTTGAACATCCTGTGCATGCTGTCACAATCGCTGTGAGATCATCTCATGCAGCTTCCTTGTTTCCAGAGAACACCTTTCTTGTAGTCATCCACTACCCCTGGCTCTTTCCATCTTTCACCCCCTCTTTCAGTCTCTTAACCTTGAGGAAAAGGTACGATATAGGTGCCCTATTCAGGGCAGATCACTTTGAAGTCTCTTGTTCTCTGTGTTGTTCAGTTGTAGGTGTCTCTGTTTGAAGGGTGGGAAGTGCCGGGTGGTGGTGGCGCACGCCTTTAATCCCAGCACTCGGGAGGCAGAGGCAGGCGGATCTCTGTGAGTTCGAGGCTGGGCTGGACCGATAGCCTCCAAAACAATACAGAGAAACCCTGTCTCGAAAAACCAAAAAAAAAAAAAAAAAAAAAAAAAAAAAGAAGGGTGGGAAGTGCTTTGATCTACAGGGACCGAAATGAAACAGTAGAGTCATTTAAATTCTGTTCCTAATTAGCAGAATAATAGTAGTGGGTTCTCCTCTGTAGTGATATATTATTTATGATTTATTAACGCTTGCCTGAGGATTCAGAAAGCAAAGTCAGCACCATTATTAGGGATAAGGACCTGTGACTAGATAGATCATAGGCCCTAGGGAAGTGTAACACAAAAAAATCAAAGATCCCGAGAATGATATTGGGGTTCAAACTTCAAGCTGAATATCAGAAAAGCAAAGCAGCTACTCACTAGCTTCTTACCTCTACCTCAGGCTTAATGGGCGGGTCCTGCCTCCACGAGCTCTCAGCAGGCCTAAGACTGTAATCTTTCTTCAATGTAGCTGGAGAACGAATGCCTCTACTGACTCATGCGCCTGTCTTATGTATTTCCCTAATGTTGGGATTAAAGGTGTGAGCTATAATTCTCTTTTGGATTGATTCACTCTTGTGTAGATCTGGGTGGCTTTGGACTCACAAAGATCCGTCTATCTCTGCGTCCTAGGATTAAAGGTGTGTACCATCACTTCCTAGCTTCTGGCTGCTGGAATTAAAGGTGTGTGCCTGGCTTCTGTGGCTTGTGGCTGACTTTGCTTTCTGAATCCTCAGGGAAGCGTTAATAAATCATCACTATAGGGAAGAACCTACTGTAGACTTCATTTCAGATGAGCATGACCAAACATGTTCCAAGAGTATGTGCTGTACTTTCCTGAGGGGTTCAAGTTAACTCAATCCTTACAACAAGTTAGGCACTAGACACAATTTTCCTGCCACATTTTCCAGGATCCTTTTGGATACCAAAGCTCAAGAATGCTCAGGTCCTCCAACTAACAATCTAAGCAATAGTAGAGAGACTTCTTTAAATGCCCTTCTCTGATAATGAGATTGATGACTATCTTATATGCCATCCTAGAGCCTTCATCCAGTAGCTGATGGAAGCAGAAGCAGACACCCACAGCTAAACACTGATCTGAACTAGAATCCAGTTGCAGAGAGGGAGGAATGATAAGCAAAGGGGTCAAGACCAGACTTGAGAGACCCACAGAAATAGCTGACCTGAACAAGGGGGAGCTCATGGACCTCAGACTGATAGCTGGGAAACCAGCATAGGACTGTTCCAGATCCCTGAACATGGATGCCAGTTTGGAGGTCTGGGCAATCTATGGAGCCTCTGGTAGTGGATCAGTATTTATGCCTAGTACATGAATGGACTTCGGGAACTCACTACACATAGAGGGATACTCTCTCAGCCTAGACACATGGGGAGGGTCTAGGCCGTACTCCAAATGATATGACAAACTTTGAAGATCCCCCATGGAAGGCTTCACCCTCCCTGGGGGGCAGAAAGAGAATGGGATAGTGGGTTAGTGGGGGAGGGGGCATGGGAAGAGGGGAGGGGAGGGAGACGGAACTGGGATCGACATGTAAAACAAGTTTGTTTCTAATTTAAATAATAAAAAAGAATGCTCAGGTCCCTCCCATCTATAGAATGAAGGAGTGCTGCATATGCATATAAGCTACACACATCTATATACTTTAAATCCTGTCTTGACTTTTTATTGCTAACCACAATAGTTGTTACATTGTATTGCTAGTAAGAAAAAAGTCAGTACATACTTAGTACAGGCATTATTTCCCCTGCCCCCATGTTATTTCTTATCTGTGGCTGTTTGAATCTTCAAGTAAAAAAATTAAACTTATTCGTTTTTTATGTATTTGCATATTTTGCCTTACCTTGTGTATGTGCACCATGAGAATGCCTTACGGTGCTTGGGGAGGTCAGAAGAAAATGACAGATTTCCTGAAACTGGAGTTGCCAGTGGTTGTTAGTTTCCATGTGGGCACCTGGAATCAAGCCAGGGTGTCCTCTGCAAAAGCAACAAATGCTATAAACTGCTGAACCATGTCTCCAGCTTCGAAACTTCAGATCTGAACCTGAGACCAACGCACTCAGACCCCCCGAATGAATGTAGAGATTATTTTAAGCTGAAGGTGTGTCAATGACTCCCAAAGATCTTTGCGAAGCTTCTGGTGGCTGAACAAAAGCAGACTTTAAGAAGTGACCACTACCCGAAGTACTTCCTGGGGGGCAGGGTGGAGGTTGTTCATCTACTCACAGCGGAGATTAACAGTAAATTTCATGCAGATACATACTTCAGACAAGTGTGGTGGTTCTAAAGAGGCCATCAAAACCACTGCCACAGATGTGAAGATAAGCACATCTTTGCCTGTGTGTCCTCCCCACCCCCAACACACACACACACACCACCTACACCAAACAGGGTCTAACTATGTTGCTCTGGTTGTCCTGGAACTCACTTTGTAGGCCAGGCTGGCCTCCAACTCACAGAAATCCACCTGCCTCTGCCTCCCAGGTGCTGGGATTAAATAAATTCATGGGACACTACACCCCACACACCTTTGTTGTCTTAAAAACTGTTTGGGATACCTAAATAAATAAATGAAAACTATTTGTTCTGATTCCTAGAAGCTCTTCATGCCTTCTCTGTCTTCCTTTCCCCCATTCCCTTCCTTCTCCTTTTAGTTTATCTACCATCTATCTCTTATCATCTATCTATCATCTATCTGTCTATCTATCATCTATCTATTTTTCTGATTGAGTCTCATGCAGCTGTGCTATGCTAGCAGACTTCTGACGTTCAGATGGTAACATACTGCCTTCATCTATCTGTTTGTCTGTCTATGTATCTATCTATCTACCTACCTACCTACCTACCTACCTACCTACCTACCTACCTACCTACCTTTCATCTCTTGCTGTCTCTGAGTCCAGCTAAGTAGTGGTGTTTCCTGAAGCCCGCCCTGGCCTGTACAGAAGAACCCTTATGATCTCCTGGGACATTCTGATTCCCCCCTTCACCTTACATTCCTGATTGCTCTAGTAAACTACTTGTCTTCTGGGAGTCCATGGAACAGTTACTTAGTGGTGATCCTGGTTTTCTGCACATCTTCTCAAAGTCCACTTCGTGAGGGTCTAAAATCATTTCTGTCAGTTAAAGCATTTCTACCTCTCTTAGACCATCGTTTTAAAGTTTTTTCTTCAATGAATTGCTTTCATCATGTTGTATTTTTTTCCCTCAGAATACTGACAAGGCTGAGGCACAGCTAATTAATTCTTTTATCCTTATGATTGTCATTCCTCTTGCATTTTACAAAATGTCTGATTCACACACCAGGTGCTTTGTCTCATGCATGTAATCTCAGCACACAACAAGGTGAGGCAAGAGGATTGCTGGAAGCTCCAGGGCAGCCTGAACTATGTAATGTGACCTTGTCTCAAGAAAACTACCAAAAAAGTACAAGTCACTAAGCCAGCGAATGCATTCCTTCCTACTACCATGCCATGCCGATTTGTCAGGACCTTTCCTGAGTGCCCCTCAGCTGATGAGGCATATTGCCTTTGTTACCAGCTGGGTGTCGAGTGCCCCCCCATCCCGTGTCAATCCAGCATATGCTTTCTCAGAGCACTCCCAGCACTGACACCTGGAGATCAGGCTTCTCAGGATGGAAGCTAGAACTGAACATGCAGGAGGGTTGTTATG